ATAAAATCATGGAATAGGTATTTTTAAAATCTGAGATGATTCCTTTAGCTCCTCAAAAGAGAAAGTCTCATAAATTCAGGACGTTCCATGTAATTACTATTTGGTATCTTTTTAAACCTATTTCAGCTAGATTTCACTAACTCATATATATCAAAAACTTCTTTCTTATGTTGTTCCACTATCTTAAATAATACTTTTAACAGTAAATTTTCAAAATCACTTCCCCAAAAAAAGCAGGTTTGATGATGAGTCTTCTGCTTTAATTTTTTTTTTAAATCTGAGACCAACAATTTTTTTTACAAATCTTTAAGGATAAATATTTCTTTCTCTACATTTTGATGAGAGGCCTATTCTTTTTTCATAAAATATTAAGTTGCAAAAGCCAAAATTATTCTACATATTTTCCTCTCTCTCTCTCTCTCTCTCTCTCTCTCTCTCTCTCTCTCATTTTAGGAGAAACTGCTTTATGTGGATTGACACCTCACATACTCTGAGTTTAAGAAGTTAGCATTATCTGAGAAGTTGCTATTTTTAGGTCCAGCTGTAATGTTTCTAACTTTGGTACTTGGAGTAGTGGGTGCTTCCTTTCCCAGAAGGCTCTGTATTCTCAATATGTGCAGGTCAATTTGATATAAAGCTACCTACAAGGCGCAGGAGGCCCTTTGCAGCCTGTATTTTTCATTTGAAAATTATGAGCAGGTATTTGAAACATCAGGTTGTATTTGGGAATCAGCTACATGTCAGGACAAGCATGAATTGTAGTCCCTGGAGGCTGGGAGAGCATAATGCTTGAATTTAACTTCTTTGGGAGACGAGAAGAAAAAAATTACCTTTCTACCTGACAAGATTGACAGCTTATTAAATTTTACTATCTTCAGAAGTGTGCTGGACAGTTGCGAAGTAATCGTTCATTTTTCAAAGATGATGATCAAGGAAACATCTTTACGAAGGGACCCGGATTTAAGGGGAGAGTTAGCTTTCCTGGCAAGGGGCTGTGATTTTGTTCTCCCATCAAGGTTTAAGAAGCGGCTGAAGTCATTTCAGCAGACACAGGTTTGAAACTTGGGTGTTTCTTTTAAGATATTTTTATTACTAATAAAACCACCCAGTGAACTAACTCACAAATAATTTTATAACTCACTTGTATCTTGATATTAGATCAAGGAATTAATCTGTGTCCTCTATTCAGCTATTTGCAGAAAGCTATTTGTAGAGGGATTCCAACAGGTTTAAAAATAGACCTTCTGGATCTGGAATACAGTACTCACATTTTTCTCATGTAGAGAGAGAATCCAGTTTTAGAGACAATAAAATACAACTTAACAAATAATTTATAATTTAGCCAGAAAAATACTAGAATCTTTAGTAGGAATCTTTGATAGTATTGGTGTTAGAAGCCTTATTTGCACTTTGAATCAGTAGACTGTGTTTAACACACTTGGATCAGTAATGAATGTTTGATTTTTTTTTTTTTAAGTATTGATCCTGGCAATATTTTTAAAGGCAGAAGTATTTTTATATATAAACAATTGTGTACATGTGTAATACACTGTGTAGGTAGATAATAATGAAGGATGGCTTCTAGATTATGAAAAGGTGATTTCCCTCAACAAGCAGTGAGAGGGAAAGGTGATTTCCCTCAACAAGCAGTGAGTGAGACTGAGTGATTTCTGCCTGTGATAACTACTTTGCAGAGTTTCTGCTTTCTTGATTACTACCTTTGGGCCAGTGTCTTACCACACAAGTTGCCTAACGTTGCGTACAATACAAATCAAGGGCTACTCAAATACTGGCCATCCAAATTCCATCCAGATACCATAGTTTCATAGTTATTTTGACCCAGAATAATTTCAAATTATTTGGGTGAACTATGTGAAATTCCTTTATTCCCCCTTTGTAGGTCAAAACCAGACAAATATTGGAAATCCTCTAGTGATATAATAGTGTTAGAACACTATTTAGAATGAATATTTAAATAATACTACGTTTATAAGGAAAGACTAAGGTGGAAAATTAAAATTCTTTATCCAGCTTATGTTTTTAATGTTGCTCCTATATTGACTGAAAAGCTTTATTCAATATGAGCAGTTGTCTAATTTACCAGTTAATCTGGCAAAATTTGTTCTACTAGTTTTTATTGTATAATGTTTATAAAGTATCAGTTTTATTACACTACTTTAAGGTTTAAATTATGTGTATCCTATTGAATTCAATGGAAAATAAATTGATATACCCGAAAGTTCAAAATAAATGCATTTTATTTACATCATTTCCTTTTTAATGACCACAGAACTTGATCAGTTTTATTAAATATGAAATTAACCAGTGACTTAATAAATTCTTGCCTATCAGTGAATTGCTTTGTGTTAAGAAATACACAATGAATTGCAAAATATTTGCAGTATATAACCAAGTATTTTCCCATTAAAATAAAAGCTTTGACAGATAACCAGTGTTTTGCTGAATGTCACTTACCTTGTCAAAGCAAAAGTATAGAGTTAACATTGGAGATTTTGCTCCAAACCTTCTCCCCCACTGGCACCACTGGTCTTAAATCTTATGGCTATAATTGCCCTGAAATTATAATAACTACCCTGGATATCATACCGTGGAAAACAAACGTTTTAGGGAAACAAAGAATTTTTATGATTGAACACATGTAGTCTCTCAAACCTCTTTCTGCTTAAAATAATGGGAAGGAAATGACGAGACAAGTGATCAAGTTAAAGCTTTGAAGAAAGAGTTGTGCCTTATTTTAGAATTTTAAGAATATTTTCTACTACGATTGACTCATGAATCTGTATATGCAGATTCAGCATTAAGCAGAGAGAAATGTTTACTTAGAATAGTAATAGAATCAGTGTGTTTAATCCAAACTGGTTTGTAAACTTTAAATTGCTTTACGAATGGAGATGATTATTTATGATTGAACCTAAAAATTATGCCAAATTATACATAATCTTTTGAGAACCCCCACCTTTTGGCTTTGTCACTCATTTTCTTCCATGAGGACAGATCTGTGCCCAGCACTGTTTTGAATCTTTTACTCATGTTACATTCTTTAATTTCCTTCAGTCCTCACAACAGTCTTCCAAGATGTAGGGATTATAATTTCTGTTTTATTACTGAAATTTTAAAAGGTTAAGTAACTTTCCTGAGGACACAGTAAACCATCACTGTTTTCTGTTCAGTTCTTCATTGGCATCCTTATCCTCTGTGCTGTTTCTTCCTTGCCTATTGCTTATTGTAGGATTGTTGTTCAGACTTCAGGGGTAGCGTTAGGCTAATTTAAGAAAGGAGAACATTAGAGCAATACTTTGTGATCAGTGAATTTAAAATAAACTTAGCAAGTCAATAGCCATTCTGTATTTCATACTTTATGTAGTATATAGTGCCATGCTTATGAGTATAAATGATTGGGTTATTAATTAAGAGTGGAAATTAAAACTCTGAGAGTCTTCATAGAATACTCCCTCCTTCCCTTTTCCCTCAATCTTGAGTTATCTCCATCTCCCAACTGCTCCTCCCCACCCCACCACCCCGCACACACACACACCTTTTCGCTGTCTTTTCTAATATCCCTTTATGGTATACCACATCAAATTCGGTTTGGAGAAAAGAAGGATATAAACTATAAATGAGTTACTTAACTGTAAAGGGAGTCTGGTTGTAATGAAATTAATGACCACAGAACTTGCATATCGCATGGAAATGGAAGGTGATCCTCAGGGTTATACAAAATTACATATAAGAGGAAAGGAGGGGTAAGACAAGATAATATAAGTGGAAGAAATGATTTACAGTAGAGGGGGTAGAGAGAGAAAAGCGGAGGGGAGGGGAGGGGAGAGGAGGGGGGATAGTAGAAAATAGGATAGACAGCAGAATACATCAGTCACTAGAACAGCAATATGTAAATCAATGGAAGGGTAACTGATGTGATACAGCAATCTGTATACAGGGTAAAATTGGGAGTTCATAACCCACTTGAATCAAACTGTGAAATATGATATATTAAGAGCTATGTAATGTTTTGAACGACCAACAATAAAAAAAAAAGAATATACCAAAAATGAGATAAATAAGTATCTTGGGTAAAATGGCATGCCCCTTAGTATTAAGTAAATCAACCATAACTAAAATGMTTTGACTTTCATAACAAAAGTTTTTCTTAGCATCAGGGCTTGATAGTGATTCTTCCTCAACAAAGTTAACTAGAAAAGAAAGTAAAAGTAGCCCCCTACCCCAAGTGCATTTTAGATCTGTGTGTTTAAAAAGAACTTGTCATTTCTGCCGACTGAAGGAGAGGAAAGACTAAGAACAGAAAGTCTAAAAACAGTCTTCAAAAAGAATTTACTGGGTTAGGGCTGTAGCTCAGTGGTAGAGCTCTTGCCTTGTATGTGTGATGCGCTGAGTTCAATCCTCAGCACCACATAAAAATAAATAAATAAAATGAAAATTTAAAAATAAATAAATGTATTGTGTCCATCTACAATTAAAAAAATTTTTTAAAGAGAGAGAGAATTTTAATATTTATTTTTTAGTTTTCGGTGGACACATCTTTGTTTGTATGTGGTGCTGAAGATCGAACCTGGGCCGCACGCATGCCAGGCGAGTGCGCTACCGCTTGAGCCACATCCCCAGCCCCTAAAAAAAATTTTAAAAAATACTAATCTAGTTCCAGCAGACTAATAGTACACCTCAAAGTCCTTACTCTATCAACTAATACTGCTCTTTGATTATTTTGAAATATCTGCCAAATGATTGATTGGAAAATGTCCTATAGAATTTTTAAAATATAAATCTATATAAACTCAAGTATCGATAAATAAATAATGTATTCATTTATTTAAATCTCCTTAGAGACATGCCTACTACCCTCAAGTAAAGTGAGTAATTGTGGTTTCTTGTATTTATATACTACTTCCTATTACTGGTGAGGATACTCAAGAAATATATACAGTTTAGAATTTTTGTGTCTTCTAATCACATTTCTCTTCCAGATTCAAAATAAACCAGAAAAGAAACCAGGAACACCACTTCCAACTCCAGCCACTTTTCCAGTTAGCCCTCAACCTCTCTCCCCTATTCCTGCTGTGAACAATGTTGTGAATGCACCGTCGTCCATAAACATTCCACGGTTCTACTTTCCCGAAGGACTCCCAGATACCTGCATTAACCATGAACAGATTTTAAGCAGAATTGAAACTGCTTTCATGGATATTGAAGATCAGAAAGCAGACATTCATGAAATGGGAAAAATTGCAAAGGTAATAACAATTACTAAATGATTAATAATTCCCTTTTCTCTTGCAGTCCCAGTGTTCTCCTTACTGCCTCTTTGCTGTTTTGCATGCAGAGGATTTTTTTTCCATGTTGAAAAAACGTTATTTAATACTATTAGATCTCTAGCTATAGTCCTACTTCATGGAACTCAAAGTTTGAAAGAAATTTTAGTAGTATTCCAGTTCAACTTCCCACTGAATGTAGGAATTCCTTCTAAGACATCATTAACTCATAAATACATTCTCTTCTTGAATGCTTTCAGTTACTAGAAGCTCACTACCTTGCCAGTAGCTTGTTCCATATTAAAGAACTATGTTTATTGGAAACATTTTCCTTATGTTGGAAAAGAATTTCTTTTTTGTTTTCAGCTATTGACCTTACTCTACCCTGAAGCTAGATAAGGAGCCACTAGGCCATCTCAACACTAATATTTTATCCAGAAATAAATGAATGTGATACCAGGAGGCAAGTCTTTTATTTTTTCCAATATATCCAACTGCTTCTAATTTAATATTTTAGCCCCCTAATGTAGGACTACTGTGGCTGCACTCCTCCTAGAATAATATTTAACATGACTATCAGATATAGTTGATAATGCCATTCCTCAGCTCAGGAATATTCAGGATTCTTACCCTCTGTGGCAATACTTTGCTTGGTTTGGTTTTATTTTTATCACTCATGTATATTTGAAAGTCATATCATACCTCAGATTTTAGCAGTGGTTCTAGGCTATGCTTCAAGAGGCTGAGGATTGTATGGAGGCAAGTAGGAGATCAAGTGAGTGCCCATGACTCCATGCAGACTTCTATTTAGAATGGTTCCCCAGCTTTCAGGAGAGATGTTAAAGTTTGAAAAGTTCTGCTCCTCAGGATAAAACCCTTCTCTTAGTAATCTAGGGCCTCCATACTCAGTCCCCAGAGATCCTTTCCAAAATTAAAATTACCTAATGCTGTTTCCTCCATGAACCTGACCCTATCACCCACTCACAGTCACAACTCTACATTTGGACTCTTGTAGCTCTCCCTTCCAAATGGGTTTCCATTCCTACAATCCTCCACAATACCCACTTTGAAGACCTGGCTTACATTCTGCCTTTTTAAAGAAATCCCTAATTCTGTTCATGTTGATACTGAACACAAGTCCACTTTCACACTGTGCAGAAGCCAATCATTGGAGATGAGAGTTGGTGAGAAGGAAATCAGATTTATTCAAGGGCCTATTCTAAGAAGATGGCAAGGCCATCATCCTGAAAACTCCATCTTAGGAAATTCAGTGGTACAGAGGGCTTTTACTGAAGAGGAAAGTAAAGTAATGGGAAAAGGGACAAGAAGTCTTCATGCTTAATCACTCAGTAATCATCTTTTTCATTCAGGGGATCTTATCCTTTCTCTTTGTTTGGAATATTGTGATTACAAATAACTTTTGTCTCCTGGGCCAATCCCTATAAACTTTTAGATAAATACATTATTTTCCTGCAAATTAAATATTATCCTTTTAATTAATAGGATTAGTAAGTCCTTGGCCCACACTTTGATGTTGTTTGAATACTAGGTGTTCTAGGTTCTGACAAACTAAAGAAAAATTAATGTTTGGAAAGTCTAGGGACCAGCTTCTTTTCTCTTTGTCCCCTTTTTCTGCAATAATTGACTGTAGTAGTAATATCTCAGCTATTGAAAGGGGTTTTCTTTAGACTTACAGTGTTGAGCAAAGAAAAGAACAGAGTAACTTTAGGAGGGACAATTTTGCAAAGTAAAGCTAATCTCGAATAGGATGGTGTAAAACAAAATGGCATAGATGTTACATATTATAATGCCCTGCCCTTTGCCTAACTCTGACCTCACAGAGCATTTCTGTTGTGCTAAATAGTTTGTGAACAGAGAGATTTTAAAAGAATTCTTTCTTTTATTATCTCTTTCTTTGCCACTTCCCACCTCTTAGAACTTGATTTTGGATCCCTTAGATCAACAAACTCCCTCATTCCAAAAGTAAGAACTTACCTGTTTCCACAGGGTTTTACTTATGAGGAAATTGCAGTACCACAAGTACTGAAGTCACAGAACTAGTTCTTGTCAGGAGACAAATCCTCTTAACTTCTGGCATGATCCTGCTTCCATAGGTCTTATTTCCTGAACATACACAAACATTAGCTAGCCCCCATTCGGTAGTCATCCAAATAAATTGCAAGTTCTCTTTTCCTATATTAGGTGACAAAACCAAGACAGTAAATTCTCTGAATAGCCTGGAACTATGGATCTAAATCAAAAATATAAAAGTTAGAAAAGATGAGTGAAATCTTCATTTTGGAGGTAACATGTATTAAACCAAAATTCTTGAGATCAGGGGATCTCCCACATAAAAGAATTTATTGAGCCATTACAGATGTTAGCCAGAAACCAGGTCCTGGGACAAGTTTGAGCAACTACCAGCAGGTGGGTGAGATAGCAGTTAGAAAATGTTCACCAGGTCAGAGCTAGAAGGAATTTTTATAAACATTGGAAAAGGAAAGCACTGTAACCTAAATAAGCTTTAGATAAGAGGAGTGGGATAATAAGAAGCAGGAAAAGCTATCAGATGGGTTTTTTGCTTCTGGATTTGTTGCTTCTGGAGAAGTATTTGTTGCTTCTGGATTGACTGAGATTAGTAAGAAAGGTTAAATGTAAACCAAGCTCCCTTATCTCTTCTTCATTCATCGGTCTTTGCAATAGAATTTACAACATCTCAGAATTTTTCTTTTATCACATGTCAACTATATAAATGCCAAATAGKTTTTTTTTAGAATGGGAATAATTTGTGTGAAAGAGATGGAAGGTTTCACAGAATGCTTAATATAGGCAGATAAGGAAAACTTGTCCAGATTAAGACATAGTAGTTCCCTGGTGTGGAGCAGGGTCATTATATCTGGAGAGCCCATCCAGGTTATTAGTGCTTCTCTTTCATAGACCTGCAGCCCATCCTGTCTTGCATAGAGAGTCTACTGGGTTAACCCTGAACTCTGAATATTCCTAACCTCTGTTGAAGAGCCCTGCTCTCCCTGTGCTTCCACATACTCCTGGTCTGGCCCTCTCACCCCTATAATATAGTAGCCATGCCTTAAACCATGGTTCCCTAGCATGCCACAGATTAAGTGAAGGGAAGGCAGAAAGCTAGAAACTCCATGATAGTAGTCAAGGAAGGGATATGACTGATTAAATTGCCTGAGTTATACTTGATGATGGCCCTAAATTCTATTCATAGGTGCCAAGCCTTTGTGTTCATTCCTTTTAACCTTAATTGTCAGTTCAGATAGCAAAGTAAACTGCCCATACCTTTAGAAAGTTAAAACTAACATTGCATATAAAAATGAAGCCATGTATATAATGACCTCAGAAGTTGTTAAAAGTATATTGATTTGTGTTTTATTGATTGCTGTATCAGCTCATTTTATTAGATTTTTGTCTCTTTGTCCTTAAAACTGTTTATTTTAAAATTGATTTAATTATGTCTTCCAGCTATTCTGTTTTTATTTAATCCAGCTTTTACTCAGCTGTCAATCTGTTAGCACATACTAGTCATCCTTATCTTTAACCATCTTTTATATGTGTCTCTTGTGCCAGGAGACAGTGAACTCTATCTCCAGCACTTGCTGCCCATGAACTTTCAGTCGGTTGATGTAGAAAAAGGGAGAAGAAAGGCAGCCTTTAAGGGGCAAGGAAGGAACAGATCATCAGAGCAGTAAATGAATGTGTTTATGGTTTCATATAGTTTTTAAAGCTATTTGAAAGATGAGCTTGGCATTTAAGTGTAGCTGTAAAGTTTGGGATCTGTTTTTTAAGTGCAAAGAAAATTGTGTTTATGAAATCTGTATATGTTAGTGCAGTTTTACCCTCTTGATCTTAGACCTCAGTCATCCCTAGAGAGCTTACTGTCATGTCTGGTTCAGTATGTATGTATTTTTTGTACTTTTTCCCACAGCATTAAGTGAGATGGAGAAGAGATAGAGAATGAACCAAAGAGGGATGAAAGCAGTGTAAAACAAAAACTGAGCAACAGATAGAAAAGCATTTGTCAGAGACTAGGCCAGGGGATTCATTACATAGTTTTATCCTCTAGCAGAAAGTTGAAAGGGAAAAAAAAAAGTAAAACTCTTTTGAACCATGTAAAGCTCTCCAGCCCCTCTCTTTTGACTGATGTAGCACTATCTTGACCTATTTGTGCCTGTGACCTGTAAAGCAGCCGCTCTGTACCTGAATTTCTTCTTCTGCAAAATGGGATAAATCTGCCTGCCCTCTTCTGCATGAGATCATATGAGGATCTAATGAATAATAGGCATAAGACAATTTAAAATGTTGAATGAACATTACAAATATTGGGTAATCATCTCCTGTTTATATCGCTTGACAACCTTGCTTTTAAGTTTTTGTTTTGTTTTGTTCTTTTTTGTTTTTGGAATGGGTATTGAACCCAGGGGAGTACTACCATTGAGCTATATCCCGATCTTTTTTTATTTTTTATTTTGAGACAGGGTCTCTCTGTGAACTTGTGATCTTCCTGCCTCGGCCTCCCAAGTCACTGGGATTACAGGCATGCACCACCTTAGATTTCAGTTCTTGATGTTGTGCTATTCTTGGATCAAATTGTAGGTGTTAGTCAAGTTTTTTTTGCTCAAGTGACTTTGATTGCCATATTCTGACTCTTACTTACTCTAAACATAAGTTTCCTAAATCCATTTTCTGTATCTCCCTGTTTGTTTCCACTTATCAATCACTTTCTTCCTTTGTTTAAAATGTTCTATTTTGTGTTATTAATAGTTCTAATTTGTCACCTTAAGATTAATATCACTTACTTTTTAGTTTATTGATCCACTGGTTCCCTCTATCTTAATTCTTTGATTTTTAAGTAGATATAGACCAGCCATATGTTTCTTTTTTTAATATTATTTTTAGTTGTCAATGAACTTTATGTTGTTTATTTATATGCAGTGCTGAGAATCTAACCCAGTGTTTCACACATGCTAGGCAAGCACTGTGCCACTAAGCCACAACCCCAGCTCCCCATGCATTTCTTAAATAGTCAAAATGTAATGTCCACAACCCTTGACATTCACTGTTCTTCTTTTTTCCCCTCTTGGCATTTTCTCCAAGGGCCTGATACCTTCATGTTGTAATACTAGTGTACTCAGGGTTCCCCACTATTAGAAAAGGCTGACCTTTTCCAGTCTCCTTCAAAACATTTTCATTGTGTATCTTTTCTCTTAGGGGTTTGCCTTTGGATCATAGTAAGTTTATGTGTTAATGTCTTAGTGATTCACTCACTATTCATGAGCTGACACATGCATTTTATCAGAAATCTGGGAAAAAACCCTCAGTTCAAGGGAATGAAAGTTGTTAATAGAGGAACTTGTCCCATAGGAGGTGAAAAACACAAACACACAGTCCCTGAAGTGTATAAGCTAAGGTTGGTGACTATTTCCCAAGTTTGAGCTCTAAGAGTCCTGACCCTTCCAATTCCGAAAAATTCATGAATGACTCCAGAGGGGGAAGTTTCAAGACCTTTGACAAGCCATTTCCGGTCTCTCCCTACACTTTCTGTTCTTGTAGCTCCCCCATCTCTGTAATGTGAACCATTTTTTCAGCTTCCCCAACAGTTGCCAATAGCCCATCACCAAGACTCTCTAGGAGTATTTCCTTGGCAACCCACTCTGTGCAAAAGGAGAGACAGGGAGTAGGGGAGGTAGATTTGACAGTTCACACACCCAAAGCATATTAATTGTTAGCTTTGTACCTTGGCAATCATACAATAAACAAAGCCATATCATTGTTAAGCTGACCTCAATAAGGTATTCAACCTCTGGAAATCTTAAACTCTACCCTGTTTGCAGAACATGCTTTAGTGGCCCTGGAGGCAGGAGCCTCTTATTTCTGCCCTGTCCTTACCTTCACTGGCCTAAATCTTGTTTTCCCTAGTCTAATTTCTGCCATGAACCAGCAGCATCCTTGGGTGGTCTCTCAGGATAACTAATGTTAAACTAGGTATTCTTCATGCTTTCCATGGGAATCTCCTGTGCACTGAAGCCTCACACCAGGAGCAACTTCACCTAAACCTAAGGTGGATACACATCTAATCTAACTCCAAAAAAGAATCTTCCCTTTGTAGAATGATGAAAGCTCAACAGATCCTGTATTAATATGAATAATATCTTTAACTTTTAATACAATGTCACTCTGAAGAGTTCTAGATTTGGGGATATATTTTCTATGTATGTACAAAATTAGGAAGATGTGGACATTATTTCTAATTTTAAAATTAATTTAAATTTTTAAGTTAATAATTTCTAATTATTTCTAATTTTTAAGTAGTATTAATTATAGGAAATAATTTCCATCTAAGGAAAAAGCAGGTAAATTTTGTAAGAACTCTTGTTTACAAGAGGAAGCCAGTATTTTCTTTTTAATAAAAAGAACAGCCTTTTATTAAGGAAAAAAATCAATACTTTTTAGGGTATTGAAAGTCTTTATATTCATTCCTAGTTCTTTTAAGACTTTCAGTGAATTAATATATATAATATGTAGTTATCTGTGGTAGCTCTAGCATTTTGATTTTTACTTTTTATCTTTTACTTGAACTGTAACCATTTAGATTTTAACCATATAGTTTTCTTTTTTTCTTGGCAGTGTTGGGGATTGAACTACATTCCCAGCCCTTTTTTTAGTTTTTATTTTGAGATAGGGTGTCACTAAATTTGCTAACCTGACCTTGAACTTGGAATTGTCCTGCCTCAGCCTTCTGAGTAGCTGGGTGATGGGTGTGCACCACCACACCTGCTTGATACCTGGTTTCTTGAACAACACAGGGTTTTCTGGTTCTTGAACCTGAAACTTAAGTATAGGCAAAGGAGAAAGGAGATAAATAGTTGAGTGTTTTAACAACAAGTGACCCCAATGATAAAGTTCTGCTCAAGGATTGAAAGACATATACATCCATGATATTCATTAATTTCTTTTTTTTTGTGGAAGGTAGAAAATACATGATGTAACAGTGCCAGGTGGGGAGACTGGCTGCTTTATTATCAGGATGGAGAGATATCACTATAATGAACTTGGAGAAAAAGTTTATTGGCTTGATTTTCTTCACTAAGCATGTACTCCTCTTAATTTTAATTCCTCTCTCTCTGTCTCTCTGAATCTACCCTCATTGATACATTTGCCTATGACTCAGTTGTGTTCACCCTGAGGCCATTCTGTCTACTGTGGTATGAAGGGTAAAAGTCCCAGATACTTTTCTTTGGCCATGTTATCCCTTTACAGCCTCTGGCCTTACTCTTTATTGATTTTTATTTGCAGATCTGTGGCTGTCCTCTCTACTGGAAAGCCCCCATGTTCAGGGCTGCAGGAGGAGAGAAGACAGGATTTGTATCAGCACCATCATTCATTGCCATGTGGAGAAAGTAAGTATGAGCAGTTACTCTGGGGCTAACAAAGAATTATGTGGTCCTCATAACATGCCTTATAAAGGTCACTTGTTTTATTCATTTTTCTTTTACCCTTTACTTCAATAAGGAAAATTTAGTGATTCACAACCATTTTCTTCACCACAAGCCTTTACCTTACGTGTCTTTAAACAGTAGAGTAAATCTGCAGAAATACTTCTTTAATAACTACTTAATAGTTTCTTAGTTTTACTTGTTACATTTGAAACTCAGTATTTGAATCTAATAGCAATTACATAAAAGGGAAACAAACCACATATATCACATGAAAAATACCGTTCCATTCTCATATAATCCAATATTGAATTATATCTAGTTAATTTATCAAAAATAATTGAATTATAATAGATTTTAATTATTATTTTTGAGGGCTATAATTAAAGAACCAAGGGACTAGTATATTTATCAAAATATTCTTGAATTTTAACTTTCTGATAAATTTTTTTAATTCAAACTCAACTTTCTTCTCCTTTATACCTTTCTTTTTAAGGTGTTATTTCTTAATATATTTATACATTTTAGGAAAATATCAAATCTCGTACCTTCTTCCTCTTTTAACCAATTATACCTTTTCTGGGCGGTATACCCTTCCCCCTAGTAAACTATGTAGAAATGCTGTTCAATTACTATTATCATACAAGTCAGTGTGCAGTATCAGCAGAATTCAACTTAGATTCTTTCTATTCCCTTAGTTGCATAATGCTTGAGAACGTATTAGGTGATTAATAAATGTTTTCTTAGTTCTAAAAGTCTAGCAGCAAGTTGAGTTCACTAAGTTCTTCATTATATTAGAACTAAATGGTATGTAAGACTGTTCCAGTTAATAAACTTTTTTTAAAGAACTACACCCAAGCTAAAATTTAAATAAATGCTTCTTGTTGCCTAGGTGCATTTTAGCCATTTTCTTCTTGGAATAGTTCTGACCTGTCCAAATACCAAGGAATAAAAGAGCCCAAGGAGAGCCATTACTCATACACTACCTTCTGACCCTCCAAAGACAGTTCCATAGTCAGTGTTCTACCACCCCTATAGCAAATAGAAAACAGGCTGATAAATATAAGAAGTGTCTTTCTGTTTTAAATGTGTAGAATTTCTTGGATACTAGAAATAGGAAAAAACACATAATAACAACAATACTAATGAGAAAGAGTAAACTAGCAGAGAAACTGGCATTGCCCTTGGAGTATTTTTTTTATTTCTGGCAACCTGTAACATGGGGGAAGAAAATAGATTGTAGGACCTGGAATAGTAGGAAGTCAGCTTGTACTCCCTCTCCTTTGCCATTAGCTAAACCAGGATTTCAGCTGGGTAGTATGATTTTTTAAAAATCAATATGTAAAAGTAGCAGAATTTAAGATCTTAAAATTTATAGATGTTAGCTTTCATTCAGCTAGCTTCTTTCACCCTGGTAGGCGCAAGCCCTGAATAGGCCTTAGCTGGAGTATGAATCAGGGATAAAAAGAACAGGGAGGCGAAACAGTTCTTGTCAGAAGTAGCTTTAGTCATTAAGATCAGCAAGAACTATCTAGTAATCTTGGAAAACAGCAAGAAGTGAGTAATAATTGCTTAAGAAAAGGCTGTGATCAGGCTGGGAGACTGAAAAAGAAAATAATCTATTATATGAGATATTAGAGCCAGAGACAAGAAATATAATCACTTATATTCTATTTTGAATATTCTAGGACACTAAGTTTGACACTAGCAAAGGAAAACTGGTGCCCCACTTGATTTATCTGCATTAAACTCCTTAATATTTTTTTTAATCTTTTTTTTTTAAGAGAGTGAGAGAGAGAGAGAATTTTAATATTTATCGGCAGACACAACATCTTTGTTTGTATGTGGTGCTGAGAATCGAACCCGGGCCGCACGCATGCCAGGCGAGCGCGCTACCGCTTGAGCCATATCCCCAGCCCAAACTCCTTAATATTAAAGAGAATCACAGCCAGTTTTTGGTTAAGACTATGTATACTGAAATAGGGTAAACATTTATATTGGTGGATAGAGCAGTGCAGCACAGCAGCCACAATAGCTGTATTGCTTTATTGAGATTAATCACCTTGAGGTATCCTTCAGAAGCTCATATTAATTCAGGAACATTCAAAGGTAAAATGATTGCATGGTGAGAGCTGTAACCTAATGAGTCTATCCTCATTTAAATGGACTGACAGGGTAGTAACTGTGGGCAGGTGAGGAGCAACTGAGGGAGGTGGGTCATTGGGAGTGTACCCTGGAAGAGTTCATTTTCCTAGTGGGCCCTTCCCACCCACTTCTCTCTGCTTCCTGGTCCCTCCATGAGCTGAGCAGCTTTCCTCTGCTGGGCGCTTCCCCAATGATGTACTGCCTCACCTTAAGCTCACAGCAATAGCATCAGCGTCTTTAAGCTAAGATCTCTGAAACCACAAAGCCTAAATAACTTATCCTCTAAGTTGTTGTTGTTGGGTATTTTGGTCACAAGGACAGAAAAGCTAACTTAAAACAAATATATAAATGTATGTGTCTATATTAAAATATCCTGGTCAGATACTTAAATGGTTTGGGCGCCCTCTAGTGGGAACTCTTCTCTGAGCTCTTAAAATGCCTTTTAAAAGCCAGGATGCTTTAAAAGAGACCCAAGTATAGCTGTTTGTTGAGAGTAGCAGCTAAGTATAATGCTTTGAGTTACCACTTGACCTAGGGGGAAAAAAAAGATGTATTTAAATTTTTTACAAACTACCCTTTGCATAAAACAACTTAGGCCCAAGTATAGCATATCAGAATTTCCAAACACAAAAAATAACTGGCAGGTTACAGCATTAAAGCACTTTGGCCTATACATAGGCATGCTGACTTTCTCCAATAATATAGTTTTTTAAAAAAATAAAGTCAAATGTAAAAGTCATAAATATTAGAGTAAATAGTTTCTTTCCTGTCAGAGTACTCAGGTGTTGGAGGCTTCAGTACCTCTTCTACAAGTGATTTTAGAATGAACACCTTAGTAACTTGCCCCTACTTCTTCTGTTCCCCTCCTTTCCTAGAACTACTGCCCATTTCATAACTATACTCTGACATCTCTTTTTTCTATAGCCAGACATTTTTAGGGGAAAGATATGGCTCAACAACTTTTTAAGTTACTGGAACACCAGCTTTGGGGCAGAACTTCTCTCACTTGGAGTAGTAACATTGCTCAGCTTTACTAAGTTTTATTTGCTTTTACCTTTTTATATCAATGTGTTATTTGCCCATTAACAAAACAGTATTTTGTCTTAAAAACATTATGGTCAGTATAGAATACCAGTGTAAAATAGCTACATTTACTTTTGTCCTTCAGCTTTTATGGCTTTTATTATCTCCATTTCTCCTGTCATATACRAGTTTATTAGCCAGTAGAATCGTAATTCATCTTTTCTTTCTGTTTCATGGTTCTAATAGCAAAAAGCCATCCCCTATTTGAATCTCATGTGTCATATTGCTACTGTATTTAATAATACTGTGCTTTTTAAAAATAATCTATTTTTCAAAGACCTCACTGCCTTTCTGTTATCATCATCCCACCCACTTTCTAATCCTAAGAGGTAACTTTCATTTGCACCTATTACATTACACTGATTTTTTTTCTAAAACATGTTTATTTACTTTATTTACTTCAGGGGACTTAAATGATAAGAAAATAAATACAAAAATCATGGGGCTGGGGATGTAGCTCAATGGTAGAGCAGTTGCCTAGCACGTGTGAGGCACTAGGTTTGATCCTCAGCACCATATAAAAATAAATCTGTTAGATCACTAATATGTTTTCAGAGTCTTTTATGTATAAGTGATTAAACTATGTGCTATGGATGAAAAGTGCTACAACAGTTCCTTCCCTTTAGGTGCTAAAGAAAAAAAAACCCATAGAAATAAATAAAGCCAATAATACAAATATAGAGAGTAAAGAACTGAATTTTTTACTTATCTTTGTCATATATGTGTGAACTAAATTCTTTATACACAGAGAGAGAGAGAGATACACATATTAGACAAAGATCAGTAAAGAATTTTGTTGTCAGAGAAGACTTTTTGAGAGAGGTATGTTATAAGCTAGGTCTTAAAAGAGTTAACATCATTAAGATGACAAAATTGGGATGGGTTTTCTAGTATAAGAATGACACAGGTAAAACTACATAAAACTCAAGCCATCTGCCTGTTTCATTTAGCAAAGTCATGAGATAAGTAAATAAGCACCTCCAGGCTAATTACAGAGGGCCTTAAATGCCCATTGTAGGTATGTTAGCTTTGTGTCACTGTGACAAAATACCTGAGATAGAGAACTTAAAAGTAGAAAAGACTTAGTTTGACTCAGTTTCAGAGGTTTCAGTCCATGTTCACTTGACCCCATCTCTTTATAATGAGGGACCTATAGTGGGAGTTGAACATATAGCAGGGAGCATGTAGTAGAGCAAGGCTGCTCACCTCATGGCAGCCAAGAAGCAAAGAGAGAGCCCTACCCACAAACCCATTAAGCTGTGAATCCACAAATGGATTAATCCATTGATAAAATCAGAATCCTCATGGTTCTATCATCCCCTGAAGGCCCTACCTCTGAGTACTGCTGCACTATGGACCAAACCTTTAGCATATGAACTTTTAGAGGACATTTAAGACCCAACCCACAAATTTTCACCCATGACCCCTAAAGACTCATGTCCATCTCATCATGTAAAATGCACTCAGTTTTATCTGCAATACATTCAGTTTATCCCCATAGTCTTAACAGCATTGTTCAAAAATCCAAATCTTAAAATCTTCTCAGAGACTCTGGGCAAACTCTTACCTGTAAATCCTTCTAAAAATCAACAAACAAGTTACATATTTGTAACATACCATGGTGGGATAGATATAAGGTAAACATTTTCATTCCAAAATGGAGAAATAGGGGCATAGAAAGGAGGAATGGGACCATAAGATTGCAACCCAGGAGGGCAAACATTAAGTTGATTAAATTCATGTCTAGCATCTGAACTCATAGTGATGTGATGTGAGGTCCAAAAGACTTGGGCAGTCCCAGCAAGACACCTGTGGTTTTGCTGGCTGCAGCCCACATAGCCACTCTCTTTGGCTGGCTCTTCTTACTGCATGAGGCATCCTTTGGCAAGCCTTGCACGTTCTTGGCATCTTTAACTTTCTGGAGTCTCCATTGTAGCTTGGGTTTCTCTCTTACAACGTCACACATCACCCTCTCAGGGTCTGCCTGCAGGGACTCTTGACACTGCCACACATTGCCTGCCTCCAAGGCTTTCCTTTTGAAATCTCAGTGGAAGCCTCAGTGACCTTACAACTCTTACATTCTACATGCCTACAAAACCAACACCACATGGATGAGTCCCAAGTTCTGCCACCAGCAGAAGGACTATCTTGAAGCAGTGGCTTCTGAGAGTCTGGGCAACCTAACAAATCCCAGGGAAACCATTTCTTAGACAACCCTATGTGAGCAGTGCACTCTAGGGCTCCCTTCTCAACACAGTCTTTGGAAAGAGTTTTACATCCTTGAGCCTGTGGTGGGTGGGGTATTTCTGATTTGATTTCTCTTATCCTGTTACAAAGCATTTCTTTTTGATTACACTCATCTCTTATACAACCATATCCTCCTTGATTACAACTTTACTGGTACTTCTTTTTTGGCTGAGGTGCCAGTTTATCAGATCTTTCCATTATTTTTTTTGCTCTTGATTCTCACTGTCAGTCTGGCTAAAACAGCCAGAAATATCTATGCCATAACCTGAATGTTATGGTGCCTTGAAATTTTCTCTGCCAGATTAGTTAATCCATCACCTTTAAACTCAGCCTTACACAAAGTCTCAGGGCATGGCCAAAATGTAGACAAGGTCTTTGCCAGAAGGTAACATAATGGCTTCTAGTTAGATTCTCAGTAGAATCCTCATTTCCCTCTGAATCCTCCTGAGCTTGGTCTTTACTCTGCATTCCTATTAGTATTCTGTCTTTGGACCTCCCACCAGAATTAGCCCACTAACCTTTCCTTATAGCATTTTGGAATGTCTCTAGCCTACATCTCCAAACTTTTCCAAATCCCTCTCATGAGCCAATTTCAGCAGAACCACATTATCAGGTAATAGTCACAGTAACAACCCCACTTCCTGTACCAATTTTCTGTTAGTCACCTTTACATTACTGTGACAGAGTACTTGAGATAAACAACTTAAAAGGAGGGAATCATTTATTTTGGCTCATGGTTTTAGAAGTTTCAATTCATAGTCACTTGGCACCATCAATTTCTGGGTCCTTGGGAAGAGGCAGAACATCATGGCTGGGCATATGTGGTATGCTCACCTCATGGCAGCCAGGAAACAAAGGGAGAGCTTTTTTGCCTCTCCTCCAAAATCCATTAAGCTCTGGATGGATTAGTCTGTTGATTTGGTCAGAGGCCCCATAATTCATTCACCTCCTGAGGCCCCACCTGTGAACACTATTGCATCATGGACCAAGCCTTTAATGCATGAGCTTTTGGTAGACATTTAAAATCAACCCACAAGAGTAGGCTTATGCTTATGAGAGAGAGAGAGAGAGAGAGAGAGAGAGAGAGAGAGAGAGAGAGCGCAAGAGCGAGAGCGAGAGCAAGAACGAGCACACACGCTACTGAACATTTTTCAATAAGGAAATTATGTCATCCATATTTGTTTTAGAATGATGAATCATCTGTTATACAAGGTTGGATGAGTACCGAACCCTGTTATGACCCTCTTCTCTTCTGGCAGTCTCAACATAAACTTAAAAGGGCTTGAATTTGATAGTACAATGGAAATAGAAAGGAATAAGCCATTGTTTAGAACATTCTGTGGAAAAATTCCTCAGGATATTCAGTATTCCTATCTTGTATTCCAAGCACCTGATGGTCCCAGCTAGAAACTTGGGAATTCTCTCATGCCCAACACCTGTCAGCTACCACATCCTTTCGTGGTAATGGGCACCTTTCTCTTCATCTCCCACTGCTAGTATCTATGTTCAGGTTCTCATTGTTTCTTGCTTAATGTTTCTGGGGGGAAAAAAGCACTTCTTATAATGTCACTATTCAAGTTAAAATTCTCTTGTGGAGTTGACTAAAGTCCTGGCTTCTTAACCTGACTTCAGAGGCCTCCAGGATTTGATCCTAACTGCATATATATCCCTTTCTCTTACCATCTCTGTGCTTACTCTTGCCCATCACATACCAGGCATTTGTACCTATTTTCCTCCTTACCAAAATGCCCTTCCTTTCTACTTCACTTTCCGGGGAATCTCACTGGCCTCCTCTGTCCTTCCATAGTACCCCGTTCAGATTACTTCTGTTATGGCTGGTCTTCATAGTTTAATTTTATTGATAACTAAACATTATACTGGAACTTCCTTACAGAGCATAACACTGTGTCTTATTTTCTTGTTTCCCCTACATCCTCATGGCCAGCTACAATACTTGGCTCATAGTTAGTATTCAATAAATTATTAATGAAGAATAAGAAAATTGGAAACTAATTGGTTATAAAGAATAGGAAAAGAAATAAGTTCTTAATGACTTTAAAGTGTCAAACCCAGACAACTAAGATACCACCATTTTTACAAAAATAAATGTAGGTTTCTGAATAACCATCATGATGATGCCTCTAAGTGTAGGCATCAGTAGAGCGCTTACCTAGCACATGTGAGGCTCTGGGTTTGTTCCTCAGCACTACATAGAAATGAATAAGTAAAATAAAGGATTGTGTCTAACTACAACTAAAAAACACATAAATATTAAAAAAAAACAGATGCCCAGGATAAGGACTGACTTTGGGAGAAAGATTTTAAAGTTGATTTTCAGTATTTCAGCTTTGCTATCAGAATGTAGTCCCCAATTGGAAACATCTAGCAGATAGTTGGAGATAAGAATTCTTGGAACTGAGAAGAATTAATAGAACACTCATTATTTTAAGCCTGTTCCTTCAGAGTCTAATTTCAAAAGCCACCTATCAGGTTAACCTTGAAGGTCTGTAAACCTGGGTACTGTATGCCTTGTGTAGTGCATAGTTGTCCATCTGAGGTATCACACCCTCCTTGCTATGGCCAGCTTAGAAGTTCTGGTTCCAAATGTTCTGCACTAAACTGAATGGATATTCTCCCCCAGTGTATTTTAATAACACATATTTCATCTGCACTAGTTCAGTTGACTCTTTGATCTCAGTCTCAGAAGCATTCTATTAGAATAATATACCATTTTGTTATTGAGCTTTTAAGATATTCCTTTAACAAAATCAAAAGCATGGAATTCATTGAAAAGCAAGGACTTGTTCTGGGGGTATCTTAGTGGTAGAGTACTTGCTTATCTATCACAAGGCCCTGGGTCCAGTTCCAAGCCCCCAAAAAAGAAAAGAGTACTCGATTCTTAATCTAAGTAGCCTTCAGATCAGACTGAAATGACCAGTGATGTTGTAGTCATGGTTCAGAGTAGCAGATCTTCCTAAGCAGTTGTTTCTTTTGTAGGTTGCTGAATAACCATCATGATGATGCCTCTAAGTTTATCTGTCTTCTAGCAAAACCCAGCTGCAGCTCTCTAGAACAGGAGGATTTCTTCCCTTTACTTCAGGTAATTTATATTTCCTTTCAAAAATGGGTTCTATTTTTCTGCAGTTTCAGAGGTTTTTAAAAAAAAATTTGCAACTGTAATACTTGTCAGTTAAGCTATACAAATCTATAAGTAAGTTTTCTTGAAAAGTGGTTTTTGCACTTGTTTTAGCAATAAAATCTCTTTGTTAAACAAAGCTCATAGCATAAAACAGATAAAAGAGGGCTACAGTCTCAATGAAGCAGGAGAAAGGGGCCATTCAGCAAACTACCCACCTCTAACCATAGAAATTACCTTCTGAAACTGTTTTATACAACATGGAGAATGCTGACATCAAACATAGTTAAAAACCTGGTAGGAAACAAGGAATGGTTGTGGAGTAACCAGAACCAATRTCATGAACCACAGGATTTTCAATCAGTGTGGTTTGACTCTTTGATTTAAGCATAATTCTAAAATGGTTGGTTTTTTGATTTTCAAACCCAATTTATGTGAAATGAAAAATTATAGTATAAAGGAGGGAGAGAATAAACTAGAATCAAACTCCCTAAGATCTTCCAAATGGACTCTAAGTGTTATTAGAAGTAAGAAAAGCTACGTAAAAAAGAAAAAATATGCAAAACCTGTAAGAGCACTCCTCTTACAGGTTTTCCCTTAGTTCAAATTGCTCCTGTAGGAGCAATTTGAAATAAGAGAAATAGTCCCCAGTCTTATTATCAGATTTCAGCCAAGATCAATAATTTGTATTATTATCATAAACTATTTTTACTCATCGAGAAAATTCACTTTATGGAGCAACTTTTCACTGATGGAATCAAATAAGTGAAACAGTAGTTTATTTCTCATTTTTCCTTTTCTGTTTATGAAACTTTAATACACAGAAGACACTTTAATAAACTTTAACACATATCACCTTATGTGTTATATACTCATATTATTATTCATGTGGAAAAGATGTCTCAAATGTAATTAATCTCAGATCTGTAAGAAGATTTTCTGTTATCATTTGATTTTCTGTTATCATTTGAAAGGCATAGAAATACATTGACTTGGTTATGGCTTTTTAAAACTTATAATCATAGCTATTTTTATATTTTATGGAAATATATACATATAAAATACCTAAAGTTAACCATTAGGCTGATTTCTAATAGCATATGCATAGATTTTTATTTACAGTAACAATTGTTCATGTTTAAAAGATGAAGTTTGCTTCTGATTTTATGTCCAGTTCCTTCAAATTTATTTTAATTTGCAGGGTGGGCTTTATTATCTTTAGACTCATCTGCTGTATGATTTTGCTCCCCACCCAAAAAAAAAAACAAAAACAAAAACTCATGAGCTGAGCACAATGGTGCCATGCCTGTAATCCCAACAGGTTGGGAGGCTGAGGCAAGAGGATCACAAGTTCAAAGCCAGTCTCAGCAACTTACAGAGACTCTAAGCAATTTAGTGAGACCCTGTCTTAAATGAAAAATAAAAAAACAGGCTGTTTATGTGGCTCAGTGTTTAGGTGCCCCTGGCTTCAGTCCCTGTTACAACAACAATAACAAAAAAAATACACATGAGAATGAGAATTCTTAATAGGTTTTTTATTTAATCAGTATCATTATACCTAAAAGCCAACACTACACATTCCTGTGGAATCTCAGATATTTAGTATTTGAACAACATTGCTAATAAAATTTCAGGTTTTATTTGTTCTCTATTCATTTTCCCTCCTTACTCTCTAGATGCATTCCTTTTTTTTCATGAGATACATTTTATTTTATTTCTTATTTATTCTTTTTAGACAATACAGTAGAGAATATTTTTTAATATTTTTTAGTTGTAGAATGACACAATACCTTTATTTTATGTGGTGCTGAGTATTGAATCTAGCCTCACATGCACCAGGCAAGCACTCCACCACTGAGCTACAACCCTAGCTCCAGTAGAGAGAATTTTGATCCATCATACATACATGGAGTATAACTTCCCATTCTTTTGGTTGTACATAATGTGGAGTTACACAGGTTGTGCTTCCTGTGTTCCTACAAACATACGAAAGTTATGTCCAATTCATTCTACTATATTTTCTATTCCAATTCCCCCTTGTTTACCTTCATTTCCCTTTGTCTAATACAGGGTACTTTTATTCTTCCCTACACCTCCCAAATTATTGTGAGTTAGCATTCACATATCAGAGGGAAATTCTTCCTTTGGTTTTTTGGGATTGTCTTATTTCACTTGCTTAGCATGACAATCTCTAGTTCCACCCATTTACTGGCAAATACCATAATTTCATTCTTCTTTATGGCTGAGTAATATTCCATTGTGTGTGTATCTGTGTGTGTGTTTCTGTGTGTATGTATGTATATGTGTATATATATATATATATATATATATATATATACACACACACACACACACACACACCACATTTTCTTTATCCATTTATCTGTTGAAGCACACTTACATTGGTTCCATATCTTGGCTATTGTGAATTGAGCTACTATAAACATTGATGTGGCTGCATCACTGTAGTATGCTGATTTTAAGCCCATTGGGTATATACTAAGGAGGGGGATAACTGGGTCAAATGGTGGTTCCAGTCCAAGTTTCCTAAGGAACCTCCATATTGCTTTCCAGAGGGGTTGCGCCAATTTGCAGTCCTAACAGCAATGTATGAGTGTACCTTTTCCTCCACATCCTTACCAATATTTTTGTTACTTGTATTCTTGATAATTGCCATTCTGACTGGAGTGAGATGAAATTGCAGTTTAGTTTTAATTTGCATTTCTCTAACTACTAGAGATGTTGAATATTTTTTTCATATATTTGTTCATCAATTGGGTTTCTTCTGTGAAGTGCCTATTCAGTTCCTTTGCCCATTTATTGATGGGTTTGTTGTTGTTGTTGTTTTGTTATTGTTGTTGTTGTTGTTTTGGTGTTGAGGTTTTTGAGTTCTTTGTTTATTCTGGAGATTAATGCTCTATCTGAGGTGCAGGTGGCAAAGATTCATCTCCCATTCTATAGGATCTTTATTTATGTTCTTGATGTTTCTTTGCTGTGAAAAAGCTTTTTAGTTTGATACCATCCCATTTATTGATTCTTGATTTTACTTTTTGTGCTTTAGGAGTCTTGTTGAGGAATTCAGTTCCTAATATCCAGCATGATGAAGAGTTGGGCCTATGTTTTCTTCTAGTAGGCACAGGGTCTCTGGTCTAATGCCTAGGTCCTTGATCTACTTTGAGTTGAATTTTGTGCATGGTGAGAGATAGGGATTTAATTTCATTTGGCTACATATGGATTTTTGGTATGTTTATGGCACCTTTGTATTTATGTAGGTTTGTCTCTGTGTCTCCTATTCTGTACCATTGGTCTTCATGTCTGTTTTGGTGCCAATACCATGCCATTTTTGTTACTGGTAGCTCTGTAGTATAATTTACAGTCTGGTATCATGATGCCTCCTACTTCACTTTTCTCACTAAGGATGGCTTTGGCTATTCTTGTTTTTCCAAATTAATTTCATGATTCCTTTTTCTGTTTCTATGAAGAATGTCATTGGAATTTTAATGGAAATTGCATTAAATCTGTATAGCATTTTTGGTAGTATGCCCATTTTGACAATATTAATTCTGCCCATCCAAGAACATGGGAAATGTTTTAATCTTCCAAGGTCGTCTTCAATTTCTTTCTTTATAGTATTCTGTAGTTTTCATTGTAGAGGTCTTTCACCCTTTTGTTAGATTGAGTCCCAGAATTTTTTTTTTGAAACTATTGTGAATGGGATAGTTTTTCTAATTTCTCTTTCAGTTGATTCATCACTGATGTATAGAAACACAGTTGATTTATGGGTGTTAATTTTATATCCTGCTACTTTGCTGAATTCATTTATGAGTTCTAGTAGTTTTCTGGTGAAGTATTTTGGATCTTCTAAAGATAGAATCATGTCATCAGAAAATAAGAATAGTTTGAGTTTGTCTTTTCCTGTTTGTATCCCTTTGCATTTTTATTTCTTTCATCTATCTGATTGCTCTGGCTAGATTTTCTAGGACTGTGTTGAATGGAAGTAGTGAAAGAGGGCATCCTTGTCTTGTTTCCCTTTTTAGAGGGAATGCTTTCAATTTTTCTCCATTTAGAATGATATTGGCCTTGGGTTTAGAATATATAGCTTTTACAATGTTGAGGTATGTTCCTACTATCCCTGGTTTTTTTCTAGATTCATTCTTAACTCTGCTTTCATCTGTGCAAACTGCATCTTTTGGGCTTTTTCTGATTAGCTTTGGTTGGGTCTGGCCAATAAGAAATGCTGCTAGCAAATGGAAGGGGAGAGGGGAGAAGCTGACATTTCTTCCCACTCTTTTATTCAGCACAGTAACTCTATCCCTCTATAATACAGCTTCTATTCCACAACCTCTTCTCCATGGTTCTCTTTCCTCTAATGTCCCTTAACTCCATTCCTAACCCTTATACTTTAGCCCAAGGGATAATAACAGCATCCTCCTCTGGCTGGTTTCTGTATGTCTTTCCATTTCCTTATTTGCTCCTTAACCCTAATAAAACCTAATAATGATTCCAGTGTCTTAGACAAACAAGAACAAACCAAACTGTAAATTAGGAGAAGGAAGGAAATAATAAAGAAGAAAGCAAAAATGAATAAACAGAGACTAAAAGAACAATACAAAGGATCAGTGAAACTAAGAGTTGTTTTTTTGGAAAAATAAAATTGACAAACCTTTAACTAAACTAGTGAAAAGAGAGAGAAGTTCCAAATAAATAAAATTAGAGATGAAAAAGGAGACATTACAGCAGTTACCACTAAAATTCAAAGGATCATTAGGGAATATTGGGAAAAACTATATGCCAATAAATGGGAAAATCTAAAAGCAATGGACAAACTTATGGGCACATATGATTAACTGAAAATGAACCATCTAAAATAAAATATCTAAAAGATGAATAACGAGTAATGAGATTGAAGCAGTAATAAAAAGTCTCCCAACAAAGAAAAGGCAAGGACTGGATAGAGTCATTGC